CGTACGTACCGTTACCTACCTACCTACGTACGTACTAGACGTAACATCTACGTATACGACACCACTACTATATATATATATATATATATATATATATATATATATATATGAGGTTATGGCCCCTGATAGAGCAGAACGGCAGACCATAATTCATGTAGCCAACCTCAAATAGTTGGTAAAAACCTCTGATGGTGATCAAGTTGTTTAGAAGAATTTATAACCTTACTGGCTGATTTAAATAACCCTTCACTTAATCAAGCACACAAGAATACATATAGCATACTATGGCCAAATTTAAAACTTGGGTTCACCCCAAGCATTCACCATCAACTTTTTTTTAATCATAGCCAATTGAAGCAAAACACTGTAGAATTGTGCAGTTGCATAATAACCATAAGAAAGAGGAGAGAGGTTTGTTCATTGGGTTCAAAACGAAAAAAGTTGAGCATTGTGCAAACTCCCAAGTCTACAATAAGGATGGATCATTAAATTCGAATTGGGGGTACCAACATCAACCCTTGGATCCATCAGCTTATCACAAGAATCAGCCATTAACTCAGGCCTACGGTTATCAAGTCAAGTTCTGAAAATCAAGCAACTCATCTTCAATGTGGGATCTCTGAAATCATGTGGCTTCGGTTGTTTGATATTCTTTACATAATTTATACCAACAAAAGCTCCCTTATCATTCATCTGATCAAGGTTTTTTTTTTTGAGAAGGTTACATAGGAATGGAACTTGAGACGTAGTGCTATGAAAACCCAGGTGCTACCATCTTGACCCAAGCCCGATTCCTAGCATCTCATGAAGAATGCTATGAGGTTATCAATAATACCAACCCCAAGACACAAATCAATGATACCAGAATTTGCACTCAATGCTGAACTTGACTATATCACTAGAAAATTGAAAATCAACTTCAGTAAACACCTGATTTTCCACAAAGTCAAAAAATCCTCTAAATCACTGTAAAAACTTCATCTAAAACACTCAGATGTGAAAAATGATCGAAGTTTCTGTCTTATCCTTCTCTTGGCATTTGCAGAACAACCCAAGTGGCAAAATACAATCCTCAACTGATAATCCATAATCATGCTAATCCAGTTATCAGGCTTTAAAGCCATTTGAGAAATCCATTTCTCAAAGAGCCTTAGACAAATAAAGACATGAACATAGGAAAGCTTACTGAGTTTCACTTGAAACCTATGTCTAAAATTCTCTCAAAGCATGCCTCATTTTCTATTACAAAACCAACATTACAGCGAGCCTCAAGTGGAAGGTAGAAATTGTTTTTCAGCATGGTTTTTGTTAGAGAAAAGCATTGGGAAGCCAAATTGCCAGTTGTTTCAACATGCTTTTTGTTAGAGAAAAGCATTGGGAAGCCAAATTGCCAGTTTTTATGCTTCCAAGCAATATTTGGATGCAATCAACGATAAGGATTAGTATTCTCTCTCTAACGAGAGAATTACCATGGCAAAAACCTCTTTGAGACTGCAGGTATCTTTGAGATTGAAAAAATAAGTTACAAGGGAGTCAGAGTAGATGATTACCCCAAATATGGAGTTGTTGAATAAGAGCTTTAAGGCTCCACATGCTTCTTCTGTAGAGTGAAATAGTAAAGGGGAAAGGATTTTTTAAAGTCCTTTTCTAAGGTGGATTTGTTAATGGATAGCACTAGATTGGTTCATATTGGGTTTTGGGGTGCATGGCTTCAATGGAGCATTGGATTATTCACAGGAGAAAATGGCGGGTTAATAGAAAAAAATGGAGAGTTTTTTTGAGAGAAGGTTAACGTTAATTAAAAAGGAGAATGTACAAGTACAAAAATGTGCATCCTCTCAAGGGAGCAATATACAAAATTCACCCGGATGGTGAAGGATACACAAAAATTCTATACAACCAAGGCCAAAAAAAAAACAAGAAGAAGAAGAAGAAATAGGGTCACTCTTTTCCACATCTGAAATAGGGTCAATCTTCTCCACATTTTTTATGAGCTTTCAAGTAATTTTGAAATTGGAATGTACTTGTAGACTTTAAAGAGATAAAATGGTATTACAGAAAATGGATTCCAAGAGGAGGTAGGAACCATAGAGAGAAAAGCACATATACTACGCTCCCTAGGGAGTATAGTTTACTTCTACTACCTCAGTCAAAAGACCTGTTTGGGAGCATTTTTTCAATCTGAAATTTTGGGAACCACTTAAGAATAAGTAGATGATTATTCTCCAAAAAAAAAATTGATATTTGAGTTTTCTATCACTTAGTTCTCACCATCTAAAAATTGGATGGTCTCTATTCAATCTCAAGGCATTATTTTCTTTCAAGTGCATAGAGGGTTAAATCAGGAATTTTTTTAACTAAGGTTAATATATAGGTTGAAGAGGTTACATCCCCAAAATTTGGGGTCGTAAAATTAACTCTAAGTGGGGTTTTACCCGAGGAAGTAAATGAACATTCTACATCTCGCAGGTGTAGAATATCTTTTGGCTAGAAAGAATGGGCAGTCTCCTTCACACCCGATTAGTTTTTCCTCAACAAGACTCGAAAGAAATGGTCATGAAATAGGATTGTACATGTAAGTGATGAGTTTCAGACACAAACAGTGGGACTAGAGAAAAATAGTTGAAACTAGTCTCGTGGGAAACGATATGGATCACGGGGCTCCAAACTCAAATCCTAGTTGGAAAATTCTATCCATCTATTAAGGGGTTTTGAGAATCAATGGCTGCAATGGACCAAAAATACTTTCTATTTCCAATTCTGTTCCATAAGAGTTGAAGTAAAACCTGCTGCAGGCTTAGTGCGTCTACGTGCATGTGAGAGATGGATGTCGTAACTCACCCATATAAAGTGCCATTACAGATATCCATCCCTTGATGCTTTGCTTCCCGTGTGAAGTGCACCAAAAACCATCCCTACATGCCTTTTTTTCAAGGATTAAGAAGTCAGCATCAGGTAAGTACTCGATAGGGTCCCGTCCCAAGTCACTCAGTCCAACCCGGGCAAGCCTGTCAGATATCCATCCGTTGATGCTTTTTAGCCACCGCTTGTTTCTTCCTTCTCTCTTTTTTCCCTTTTCTAAAGGACATGGAACGAAAGGTCCTTCCTATTGTTGTGATCACTAATTTGTATTCTTAATTTAAGCTTATACCAAATGAATGGTGAGGTCATACTAATTTGTATTCTTAGTTTAAGCTATACCAAATGAATGGTGAGGTCATTGTTCATGAAATGAATATGGAACATTGCAAGTGACCTATTGTTGAGGTAAACGATATGACTAAGTAAAACAATTAAGTAAATTACTTGGCTAGAGTATGTCCAAGTAATCTGGAAAAATCATATCATCACAAAATAAGCAACAACAAAATCATATCATCACAAAATAAGCAACAACAATCTATTGTTGAGGTAAACGATATGACTAAGTAAATTAATCAAGTAAATTATTGGCTAGAGTTTGTCCAACTAATCTGGAAAAATCATATCGTCCCAAAATAAGTAACACCAATGAACATCATGTATAACAAATGGTCAGTCAGAATCACAAGTCGTATGCAACTGATAAGCAGAACAAATACAGATAAGTCCTTGATTGCTTTATGTTTCAACTGTACAAAGGCAGTAAATAAAAAAATGAAAAGAAAAGGAGGGACCCACCACAACACTACATTTGACCCCACCCTACAGGGAGCGAGAGAGAGAGACAACCATCCAGAGTTCTTATTCCAATAACATAAACAGAGTGTGTGCATGTGTGTGTGTGTGTGTGTGTGAGAAAGAGACCAATTCACTGCACAACCATCCCACAGTTCTTATTCCAATAACATGAACAAGCCCAACATACTCAATTTCCCTCACTTCCATTCAAGCATGTCTAACAACCACAAGACCTCCTCCTCAGAATTTGCAGTGTCACAAAAGTCCATCTCAATTCCGAAAACATCAACCTTTCCTCCACAAGACTCCACCAAAAGCAAAGACAACCACGCCCTAGACTCCGACACAAACGGGTACAAAGGCGAGAATTGTAAGTAGTCAAAGGCCAAGGCTCTAAAAGCAGTTCTATCAACATAATCAAACCTAGAATTCTCTATAATACAAGCGATCTTATTAGTATCTTTACGGCTCACAAGCACTGATGCTCGAGCCTCATCTCCATCAAGCATAGAAAACCTAGACTTCACTGATGTGGCCATTTTGTACGTGGGTCCCTCTAAGTGGGACCTCATGGGCTCACATATTCCTTGAGGTGGGACCTCTATCCCTTGCCTGAGGATGGGACCTGCAATGGCTTCCGAGAAGACTAGTTGGTCATTTGACCAAAGGTCAATGAAAAATTCTAAGTCATGGAAGGTCAGTTTAGGAGGGGGAAGAGGGCGGCTTCGAGTTTGTTTCGAGAAGGTTCTGAAGAGATGGTGGTAAGTTGTGGAGGGGGGTTGGGGCTTCTTGCAAATTGAGGGCCACTTTTTGGCACATAGGCAACGCCATAGGTAGTCATCTTTGGCTGTGTCCCTCCATTGCTTGCAAACGCACATGCATGATGCAAGGTCGGAACCATCAAGGAGAGGGAAGACGGCTTTTAGGACCTCGCCATGTGACCAATCATTTGACATGTTGGATGAGAGAGAGACAGAGAGAGGGTAGGTACATATAGAATCAAATGTGATAAAGAATATGGATAGGCTTCAAAGACAAATGATATTATAGCCTTCCCTCACCCCCTAAACAAGTAGAATGAACAGAGTGGAAGTTTGACACGTTATTCAAATGAAAAGATGAGGTATCGATGGTCAAATATATGGAGGAGCATATGATATCAGAAAAGCTTAACAGGTAGAGGGAAACCAGTAGCAAAGAAAAGTTGAGAGGTTTTAGTACCGAAGGAGTCAAGACAATACGTCAACTACAATCTTACCTGCAAAAAAAATGACAAGAGATTGAGAACCAGAAAAAGATTAGCCCTACCTCTTATACATTTATTACAAGGCCCTACATGTTTTCCATATACCGACAAGTATTCTGGATATTTATTTCTTCATTCGAATATGGATAGAGAATATTATGGGCAGTTTTGAACTTTTGATTAGCTTTCAAGCTTATTTGTTCAAATGGAAATGTACCTCAGAGAGAATTCTAAGATCCAACATGCATGCGCAATAATTAATAAAATCTATAATATTCCAGCTGTAAAGCATATGAAAACCACTTATGATAAAATGAAATTTCAGCACTAGTTACCTGGTCTCGTTCTTACACATTATCAGTGCTTAGCTCATCAGCCAACAGTTTCTTTGACTCTTTATGAAATTCATCTTAAGAGACAGAAAAATTTGCTCACAAATTCTCTATCTAAAATGTGGACAATCAAACCACTGGAAAATATTTTAAGCATAGCTAAGTCATTTATCAATGCCAAGCAAACCAAGATTACTGAGCACTCTACCACAGAGTTGTTGACAGTTTGCCGGGCCAGCCCTTGAACTTTCGGGCCAGACCTTGTGTTTGAGCTGCATTCAGGCCCCAAGTTAAGGCCCGTGGGCCTCGCTTGGATCAGACTAATCTTGTGTTATTTCCGGTTTGGACCAGGCTGGGGCCACCTTTGGCCGGGCATGAATTTTATACATCAAGTGTTTAAATAAATAATTTAAAGAGGATGAACCAAAGAAGGAAGCTCCCTCAATCATTACAATAAAAAAATCAATGCAACAAAAATACCTCCATGTAATCATCTTTTATAAGTCTCCTGGGCCCACCCTTCCCTCTCTTGAACGATGCAGGACTATGGGAACGCCGAAGTTCCAAACCAAAAGAATCCCTCCCTCTCTCTCTTCATTTTCCTCTCAGACTCTCACCTTCTCTCTCTCTCTGCAAATTTACTTTTCCGAGAGGGAAGCACAAACCCAATCAAATCCTCTACTTGAGATGCCAATCATTATTTTAACCCCACAATTGCAAGTACGCACCTCCAATGCTACCATCCCCTAAAACACTTCATCAAAAACTCACAAAGCCCCGTTTACTTTCTCTTTGTGGGTCATTTGGTCTTGACTCAAGGCCATGGAAATACCAAAGAAGCTCCTATGGTACAAGTACCATGCCATCTATGAATCTCTGGTCTATCTCTCTCTCTGTCTCTGGTTCTTGTAGAACCCAGAATACTAGTCACTTTGAAGTTTTTCCTGGTCTCTTTTGGTTTCCAACTCTCTTGTCCTTGTGGCCACCATTATCTTTGGAAAAACTGCTTCTTGAGAAATGGAATCTTTAGAGAGGAGAAGGGGAATTTTCAGGTTGGTTAGAGAGAAAAGGAAGAGAGGAATTTGTGAATACCTCCAAAGGTTCAGTTAGCTCCTCTAATGGCCTCTAAAAATCAGTGGCGCATCAACACGAAGGTGGGGTTCTACTGTTTAATAGCTCCATGGGTTCATGGGTCCCAAGAATGAAGATGCAGGTTCTCACTGAGAGAGAAAACAGACGATGCCTCGTTGAAAATGTATTTTCTCTTTTTAATCTTCTTTTTTTAAAAATTCAATTAACTTTGTATTGAAGTAAAGTGTTATGTACATAAAACAACCTCCCCTAGTCAGGGCAGGCTGCAAGGCCCACTTAAAGTCGGCTATACAAGGAAATGCAGTATCACAGAACTACACTCCCTATAGAGTACATAGAAAAGGAGTCATGCTCTTGAAAAGGTGTAGCACTGGTTCCTAGCAGCGCCATGGCAGAATTGGCCCCTTCTCTGGCCAAGGTATCTGCAGCTGAGTTTGACCCTCGCCAGATATATCTCCAAGTGACAGACAGGTTAGCGCTTAGGAGCAAACTTTCGTCGAAAAAGTTGGCCAGTCTACATAGGCATGTGGAAGAACCGGAGGGCCAATGGATGACATTTTGGAGTCGCCTTCGACAATCAAGGAAGTACCCCAGCAGAGGTCAAAAATCTTGAGGCCCTCTAGGAGGCCGAGGGTTTGGGCAGTGTTGGAGTGTGAGTGACCAAATGGACTTGGAAAAGGAGAGCAGCATCATCCCTACATGGTCTCAAAAAATGCAATGCTGGTTGGGCCTGGGTTGCTAAGAGAGCAACCATCAAAGTTGGATTTGACATGCCCGAGGTCAGGGGGTCTCCATAGGGAAGCCCGGGGAATGTGTGTGGGTCTGGTATGCAGTAATGCTACCCAGTTAAGAAGGAAGTCCGAGGGGGAGAAGTGTTTGAAAAGGCTGTGAGTTTTGGACCAGAAAATGGCACAGTGCTTCACACGGTATTTTAATGCTTCCGTGGTCTTGAACTCATCACGAAAGATCCAATTATTTCTCTGGGTCCAAATCACTCAAGGGGTGGCTGCGACTGACACCTTCTAAAGCAGAATGCAAGCTAAAGCCCAAGGGAGTGGGTGCAATGAGGTGAAGAGATCAGGGACATTTCTCGGAGTTACCCAATACCACCCGAAGAGTTCTAGCAGGTCCCCCGACAGGTTAGTGGCCACCTTGCAAAGGATGAAGAGGCGGGGGTTCGTTTCTTTAGCTATTAAGCACATCATGCATCTAATAGGTATGGGCAGTCCCCTTTTTTGTATCTGGGTCCACTGTCAAGGCTCACTCAGCTAAGGTTATCCAATTGAACACCTGTATTCTTGGAGGAATAAAGGGAAACCAGGCCTTCGGCACGGAGGGGGAGGAGGGCTGACGGAAGGGATGTTTGTAAAAGAAAGCGATAGAATGAGGAAACTGAAAAGATGCCGGAGGCAGCATTGGACCAAACCATTAAATCATCACCTTGGAGGGGGAGGAATACTGTTTGGATCAAAGCAGACAAAGCAAGGAAGTCATCAATCTCATGATCAGCCAGAGAGCTCCTGAAATTGGGATTCCAACTTCTAGAGGGTCCCAAGGCGTCAAACTGCTCCACAACTGTCCCCTGAGCATTACGAGAATGTCAAACAGTCTAGGGAAACGGGTGCATCACCAAGCCAGATATCCAACCAAAATCTCACCCTGTGGCCTGATCGAGGTAAAAATATGATCTTAAGTTTGAAGGGGGAAAGGCTTTGGAGGATGGATCTCCATGCTCCTGAGGGCTGGCTACCAACCCATGTGTGGGGCACCCATTCATAGGGAAGGAGGCGATATTTGTGGCAGACCACTTGCTGCCACAGATGGTATCCCTGGGTGGCCAACCGCCACCAACACTTGACGGGGACGCCGCTGTTATTCCTTTTTATACTGCTAATACCCAGGCCCCCCAAGGTGCTTGGGCAAACAAACCGTATCCCAGGATGAGGTGGAATGTAGAGTTGTCACCTTCAAGCAACCATAGAAAATTATGCATAAGCTGCTCTAGTTAGTGAGCAATGCGTGAAGGTATATGGAAGAGGGACATCTGAAAGATGGGGACATTTGATAGAGTAGCCTTGGTAAGGGTAATTCCAGTGTTTCAAAAATCGCTAGGCAGCACCTAGGCGGTCGGGGGGGTCCAGGCCACCCAGTGCCTGGGCAGGCACCCAGAACCTGGGTGGCCTAGTAAATTTTTTTTTTTTTTTTGGTTTCTCTCTCTCTAAAATAGCCTCTAATGGGTTTTAGGTTCATTTGAAACCTAAAACCCACAATTTTGTACATGTAATATAAAAAAAATGACCCAAAATGAACCAAAAATGGCCTCAACGAGCGGCATTTCAGACCTTGGGCAAGGCGTAGGGCGCCGCCTGAGGATAACCGCCTAATTTGGTCGCCTAGGCCTGGGCGATGCGCCCAGGCCTTCTGGACCACCTGGGTGGCTGCCCAGGAGCTGGGCGGTCCGCTTTTTGAAACACTGGGTAATTCTACCTGCAGACCAGAGGAACCAACCCTTATACCCAGCAAACTTACAGTCAAATTTATCTATAAGATGACTCCATTGGCTATATTTGGGCTTGCCGACACAAAGGGGTAAACCTTCGTATGATGAGGGTAGTTCGTCTACGTCACAACCCCATCTATCGGCAAAAGAGGAGATAGTATGGGCATCAGCAGCCACCCCAATCACTCTGGTTTTGACCTTATCACCCTAAACCTGTGCCCAGTTCGAAACACTTGAGGAAGAGAAGCAGGCAATCAACTTGTTGACAGTCAACCCCACAAAGGAGGAGGGTGTCGTTTGCGTGTTCCAGGTGGGAGATGATTGGTCCTCAGTTTTGTATTTGAAAACTAGTGGTAAGGCTGTGATGATACAACCTCTCAATGGATTTGCTAAACACTTCCCCTACTATAGTAAAAAGGAAAGGGGAAGAAACCTTTCGGAGAAATCTAGAAAAGGGGAAGAAAACCAGTGGTAAGGCTGTCATGATACAACCTCTCAATGGATTTGCAAAACACTTGCCGAGGACCTCTAGAAAAGGGGAAGAAACCTTTCGGAGAACCATTCATAAGGATTGAGAAGAATGGACTAGAAATACATCCTTGGATCCATCTTTTCCAGCGGTTTCGAAAACCCATCCTAGACATAGCTTCTTCAAGGATGGCCTAGTCCACATGCTCATAGGTCCTCTCCAAGTCCAACTTGATGACGATGCTTGCCTTTTGAAGAGATGGATAAACTCGTGAGCCGCCAAGGCTGCCCTATCTTGGCCCAAGTATGTGATGGCTTTCAGAATTTCTTCTTCAGTGAAGAGTCTTTCCAACCATTCTGCCTTTTTAAAGGGGATGGAGAGGAAGGGTAGATCTGACATAGGGGGCCTGAGGCCCTATGGTGCGGCAAAAAGACTTTTGAAGAAGTCTATGACAGCCTGCTCCACCTAGTGGGAGCTATCCATGGTGATGTAATCGGCTCAAAAAGGGTAAAAGGTAGGCCCAAAAGGACATGGTTGAAAGTAGTGAGAAAAAGATATGAGGACTTATAGCTTCACTGAGGATATGACTCGTAATATAGCAGAATGATGGACCAGGATT